AAAATCCATATGGTGCCCTTTAAATAAAATTGGTTTGCAATTGATAAAATAAATCTAAAGCTAGATATTCTTGTAACTGAAGCAAATGTCTCAACGTAGCCTATAAGATACTCCTGTGTGTTCCTCGACCTACTAGTCTGGCTTAATATTTAAAAGTAAAAATCCACATCCAAGCAACTAGGTTTTTACCCCAAAAGTGCTCTAACAAATGCCATGTTTTATTAAAATTAATAAGAATCTAATTCTTCTTTAATGGTTTTGTCCCATTTAGCTCGGTCAGTTCTATACTTAATTTCAATATATGTAACTGGAATACTATAACAAAACTGTACGCATTCACTAAGCAACTGTTTTAAGATCTATATGAAGCCTGTAACCTTTCAGATCCCTTTTTTTCCAATCTCATTTTAGGCAATTTTTTACCAACTTATTCAGTTGGACAGGCATTTTTAGTTGATGTACCACTAGGCTGTTTATCTGATATTTTACTATCATATTTCTTCTTCCGTACTCTCATTCCGGAAATATGAATCTTTCATTCGAATCTATGTTCGTAATCCATTGTAGACTATCTAGACTAACACTCTGGATATTTCCTACCTGTTCCATACTCTCATTCTGGAATTTAGACAACAGTCCTAGATTTTTCCACATTAATCATCAACAACAACACCAAAAACTTTAGTACCCATATTTCACAACTTATATCCATTTGGTTCATAGCCAACAAGTATATTTTTCAAATGGAGTATTCTTATCCCGGAAGGCCCTATTTGGAGCTTTATTAATTAAATATGTTGCTGTTAAAACAGTTTCAATCGAAAAACATTTACACAATTTTGTCGAAGTTGTCATTGAGTTCGGATACTCCATTTAGTTGTGGTGTATGGGGAACTGTTAAATGCCTTTTCACATTGTCATTAGACAAATATTCTCTTCCATTATCAATGTAGAGATTTACAGCCTTTACAACAAGCCTCATATATCTCATTATCAGTCGCACAATCTCTTAAAACTTCCCTCTGCTAATGTGTCCCAATCTCTCATGCCATAAGCCATAATTTTAATGTATTACAGATTCAGTTGCAAATGCTCTATGGTTTTATCTTGAATTTGACCAGAGGATCATTTCTTACAGACATATCTTCCAAAACGCCTTGTCGGCTCTTAGAGATTCTTACACCAGTTGAGTTGATCTCAACTGTCATACCAGCTTCCTGCATCTTTGGTACCGACAGCAAATTGTTTGGGAGGTCTTTGCAAAATAACACATTTTCCAGGGTAATATTTTCATTAAGATTGCTCTTTAGTTTTACAGTGCCCTTACCGGTAGCATAAATGTATTCTCTTATATTTGCAATAGCAAACTCAATTTGTGTTTTCAGGATAATGTAATCCACAAACAGATTTTTATCATTTATCATATGGTCTGAGGCTCTAGAATCCAATATGAATGAGACGTTACTTTCATCTATCTCTATATATAAAAATGTTTGTCCTGACTGACTGACTGACTGACTGATTGGTGATCAACGCACAGCCCAAACCGTAAGAGCTAGGAAGCTAAATTTTCACTGTAGCTACCTTATGTGATGTAGGTGCACGTTAAGACGGGGTTTCGGGAAATTCCACCCGCAAGTGTGGCAAAATCGCGAAAACCGTTTGTATGTAACTTGTTTGTTTACCATCCGATCGGCTTCAAACTCATTTTCAAAGCTCTACATAAGAATGTAATGAATACGTGTTTCAGCGATTTGGGAAATTCCACTCGCAACAGTGGTAAATTTTCGGAAAACGTTTGTATGAAAGTTATTTGTTTACCGTCCGATCAGTTTCAAAATCATTTCAAATTTTTTTTATACCAGCTGGTTGTATATATAATGTATTGAATAATTAGGAAGACAATCGTTTTGTCAACCACTAATAAATAAATAAAAAAATAAAAAAATAAAATAACCTATTGGAATATTGCCTTCCAATCACACACATTAAATAATAATAACACTTAGTTATGTTTTATGTTCGTTTTGATATTTATTATTTGGATTACTGAGCGCGTCAACTTGTTTGTTCAGAGGCTGCACCAAAAGTGAGACTAAATGCTTTTAGCAATTCAGTATCAAGACTAAGTTCAAAATAAACAAAATTTTTGGGTGGACGTACTTCCCATCCGCTACGAGTGGTAATAATGGGGTGTTGGTTGCTGCAATTAGTTGCAAGTGAAGATGATGTTGCATCGTTTGCTTCTAAGTAAGCTGCCTTAACACGGCCGATAGTTACAGCGTTATGCTTGCCGTTGATATTGATTAAAAATTTCTTATCGTTGCGGCTGATAACTAGAAATGTCCCCTCGTAAGGTGCTTTGAGCGGCGCTTTGACTGTGTCATCAAGTAGGAAAATGTGTGTACATGTTTTGAGATCCTTTTGCACGAATACTTTGGTAATAGCGTGTTGTGATTTATTTACAGGCTTCAGCTGGGACATAGTTGAACGAAGGTGCTTGATGAATTCACTTCCGATGTACTCTTCGGCAGGTTTCTGGAAAAATTCACCCGTCAGCTTTAAAGTTGTCCCGTAAACTATTTCAGCTGGAGACGCGTTGAGATCTTCTTTAAATGTTGCTCGTAGTACGATGGGCAGGCTGTCGGTCCAGCTGGAATCCGTGTGACATTTAATGGCGGTCTTCAGCGTCCTGTACATTCTTTCTACTATGCCGTTGGCTTGTGAGTGTAATGTTGTTGCTTGCAGATGCTTGGATCCCGTCAACTGTGTAAGCTCCTTAAACAATTTAGACTCGAGCTGTCTGCCTTGATCGGTAGTTGTGTTTGTTGACTTTTGACTGTAGCGCGCTTGAATTGAAGACTTGCTTACGATTGCTCTGTGTAATATATGAACGGATTCGTTTTGACGAAATATCGCAGTATAACAATGTGTTTGAGTCGTCAAGTTGGATTTGTTTAAGCTGTAGGGAAGAATGCTCAATAAACTGTTGCAATCCCGCATCTGCTTGTTGACATAAGGCTAGTTCCTTAAAATCTATGTGATCGTCGTTAAAGATCGCTTCAACTCTGGACAGCGTATCTGCGATGACGTTGTGTTTGCGATGTGCTGGATATCCGTTGTATATTCGCTGATAAAGCTGAGTTGTCTAGTTTGCTTTGGTGTCGATTTGTCTGGGTTCTGCTGAAAAGCAAAGGTAAGCGGCTTATGGTCGGTCATTACTGTGCAGCTGCGCCCTACGGTTATATATGCAAAGTATTTGACGGACAGAAAAATCGCCAGCAACTCACGGTCATAAGTACTTTGCTTTTTCTGCGATTCCGATATCCGTTTAGAGAAGAAATCGAGTGGCTTGAGGGATCCGCTTCGCAACTCACTCAAGGCTGCGCCCACGCAGACGTTACTCGCGTCAACTTGCAGTACCAGTTAAGCATTTGCGGACGGATGCGCTAATGTTGTCACGCGTGGTAACTCGGTCTTGCACTGCCCGAACATCTGGTCTGCTTCGGCGTCCCACACTATTGGAATCTTGTACTTATTTTTGTCGCCTATGATTAGCTTTTGCAGCTGTCCTTGCTTAAAAGCTGCATTAGGTAAACATCGTCTGTACACATTCATTGCAGAAAAATTTGGAAGTAAAGGAGTGGTGGGTAACTTGGTTTTTTCTTTAGTTTTAGATGCTCGATCTCACAAAACAGTTCACGGCTGTGTTCCAATTAGGTGGCTTGGGACTGTCATACGACAGTGCTTTTAATTCAGGCATACGGATTTTAATCTGCTACCGCTTCGGCGGTGCCCTTTTTTATTGCCCTTGGCCAATTTTGGGGTCGTTAACTGCCTTCATAGATACTCATCTAACGTGATTCGTATCAACATGTAGTGTTTTGTTTTAAAAAAAGAAAAACTGAATTCTTCAAGTCAACCAACTTAGTTTCCTTCCGGGGTCCTTTTGATTCTATTGTTGCTGTTGTCCCTTTTGTTGCTGTTGTTAGTTTTGTCAGGTCCATCGATCCTTTGCTGGTCCTGCAATCTTCGGATTGCATGTCACGACCGGACTTGGATTTGACCTCTTAGATTTGACATTTCTTGTTTGGGGAAGGCAAGTTATTTCAAACATTATAATAAACTACCACTATTTAAGTTAGGCTCTCTAGGCTCGTTTGATAATCGGCTATTGTTCGGGAATTATAATATTTACTTTTATGAATATTATTTTTTTTAATATCCTTGCAAAGGGTATTATAATTTTGTCATGATATATATAGTTTATATTCTTGATCAGTATCAACAGCCGACTCGATATAGCCATATGCGTCTGTCCGTCTGTCTGTTTCTATGCTATGCTCTATGAACTAATATCTCAGTTTTAAAGCTATCTTTATGAAACTTTGCAGAAGTGCCTCTTTCTGTTGTACGCAGAGCATATGTCGGATCTGGATCTGACCACAATATCATATAGCTGCCATAGGAACGATCGGTCAAAACGTAGGTTCTTGTATGAAAAACTTTTTGATCATTTAGATATCTTGACCAAACTCGGAATTTATTGGATTTACTATGCTCCCTCCATTTACATCGGACTACTATATCATATAGCTGCCAAAGGAGCAATCGGTCGAAAATTAAGTTGTTTTATGGAAAATGATTTTTGAAAAACTATATTATTTTATATAATTAAACAAATTGAGATCTGTGGTGGCTTTAAAAGACTGCTGAGCGTTTTAGTGCGTATCGCTTTGATGTAATTCGACAACTGAAGTTATATAGAGTTATGCTAAGGCGGCGAAGCGAGGCGAATTCGCTCCAAAGCGAGTGATAAAGCTTTATTGCGCTCTCGCTCCGCCCTAAACCTAACTTACACTAGACTTCATGTTTTTCAAATTCATTTTTAAAATTAATGCGCAGATCTGCGCCAACACCGGCCACCATGAAGCGCTTGGGGGCTTCATTCCATGGGTAGCCGAGCCAACTTGTGGATCGGCCTTTTAAAATTTCCGCCACTAGCCGAGATTAGCAGAGATTAACTCTGCCACTCTAACGACGCCGTCCTCTCCTGCGTGCACTTCCGTCACTCTGCCGTTCAGCCACTGCTGGGGCGGCAGATTATCCTCGGCGACGACCACCAGCTCTCCCACGACGACGTTTGGCAGGCGACGGTGCCACTTGCTCCGCACTTGGAGTCCGAGCACATACTCCTTTGACCATCGCCGCCAAAACTGTTGCTTGAGCAACGAGACAGCTCGCCATCGATTCAAGCAGGTGAGACCCGCTGGTCCGGGGTCCCCTCTGCTGGCAGAGCCCGCAATGGGCCTCCCACCAGTAGGTGGCCTGGCGTTAGAGCCTCGCCATCGCTTAGGTCCTCGCTTATTGCTCCCAGGGGCCTGGAATTGAGGACGGCTTCTACTGCGACAAGAGTCGCCTGCAGCTCCTCGGCCGTTAGCAGCAGGCTGCCTACCGTCCGTAGGAGTAGGTGATTTGCAGACTTCACACCTGCCTCCCACAGACCCCCGAAGTGCGGAGCTCTTGGCGGTATGAACGCAAATTCGTGAATTGCGTCCGCCTCTTCCTCGATTCGAGCTCGCAACTGCAGGAACTGGCGACTTGCTCCTACGAAGTTCGTCGCCTTGTCGCAATGGACGGTCTCGACGGCCGACGAGCCTTTGAAAAGCCATTAAAAATGTATTAGTAGATAAGTCAGATACTAGTTCTAAGTGAACCGCTTTGGAGGCGAAGCAAACAAACAGTGCTATGTACGACTTATACGTTGGCTTTTCACGCATTCGAAAAGTCGTGCTAATTGGGCCACAAAAATCGACGCCACGAGAAAATGCGGAGGTCGAGTCATTGCTGGTAAATTTCCCATAATTTGTGTTAGCAGGCGAGCTTTGCATTTAAAGCAACGGATACATGATCTCACTGTCTGACGACAGACCTCTTGAGCGTTGATTAGCCAAAGTCGCTCACGAAGAAGGCTCACGAGTGCTCTTGGGCCAGCATGACAATTCGTCAAATGCAGGTATCTAATAAAGCTTCTAGCGAATTGCGAGCTTTTTTTTAAAAGTAGCGGAAGCTTGGCATCATATGAAAAAGGAGCATTTACAAGTCGTCCCCCTACTCGCAACAACGAAAAGGAGCACCAAGTTCCATTATACTTGTGTTTAAATGGAATAAGACGCTGCAGGCTATGACCCACGCGTGTGCCCTTTCGAACTCTATATATGTCATCTTTAAATTCAACTTGTTGGATGACTTCAACCATTTTCTCGAAAGTTTCTTTCCTTTCGAGCGCCGTAGTGATACTCTCAAATTGTACTTCTCGATTTTTACATTTTTGAATAAAGTGGAACACATAAGCAAGCACTCTCAGCAGCCTGGCATGTGATGAAAAGCTATCGATAGTTGCCAAGATATCTGGTCGGTCTACCATAGCTGCTACTCCAACAGCTGCTTTGCGGACTTCTAGAGTTCGCATCTCATCTGTCATCAGATGCTGGTTAATCGGCCAGGATTCTCTTGGTTCCTTCAAAAATGAAGGCCCATCAAACCACATCGACGCAAGTAATTCATCGACATCGCAGCCTCTTGAAACAATATCTGCTGGGTTTTGCTTTGTAGGTACATGGCGCCATTCAGCTTTCTCTATCCATTCTTGGATTTCAGCCACTCGATTTGACACAAATGTTGCCAAAGACGAAGGATGTGACCAAATCCAAAGAAGCGTGACTTCAGAATCAGACCAAAGAACCGTCTTTTCAAACAGTAATCTTATGAGATTTCTGATTCGATGACAAAGATCTGCGAGAAGGTGAGCTGCACACAGCTCAAGTCGGGGAAGAGTCTTCGTCTTGAGGGGGCTACTTTAGATTTGGATGTCAACAACGAAATTCGGCAACCTTCTGCAGTGTGGCTGCGTATATATACGCATGCGCCAATCGCTCTTATTGAGGCGTCGGCAAAACCATGTATCTCGATCGGTGAAGTTGGCTCTGTAAGTCAGAGTAGATAATCAGAGTAGATATCAGTTGCTGCCACGAGTTATCCGAACCCTGAAGGACAGATTCATCCCAGTCTAACTTCTGAAGCCAGAGCTCTTGGAGTAGGATTTTTGCCTTGATTATCAGAGGGCTTAACAAGCCAAGCTGGTCAAATAGCCGCGATGTCACCAAGAGAATGTTCCGTTTTGTCGCTCTAAGACCCATGAATGAATCGTCAACCTTAAATTGAAGGGCATCTTCATTCGGCAACCACATCACGCCAAGTGTTTTGGTTGTGTCAGACTCTGAGATCGTTATCGACTTAGCTGCGTTTGTTGCGGAGAGCTCAGGAGAATTCGATAACCATTTGGTTAGTTCGAAACCTGCGCTTTAGAGTATTTGCGACACTACAGACTTAATTGTCTGAAGGTTCTCTACGAATGCAGCACCATTTAGTAGATCATCGACGTGCCTGATAACGTCAGCAGCTTTAGGGTGTGATGATTCGCTCATCTCACTTAGCTTTGTTAAACACCGTATTGCCAAAAACGGGCAGGCGCAGTGCCGTAAGTTACGGTGTTTAACCTGAAGAGTCAGATGGGTTCTTTCTCCACACTACGAGCTGGAAATCTCGATCCGCTTCGTGCACCATGACCTGCCTATACATCTTTTTGATGTCAGCTGTCAACGCATATTTGTGGAGTTGAAATCGAAGCAGAGTCGAGTACAGCTCCACTTGAATGGTCAGTCCAACCAGTAGAAGGTCATTCAACGCAATTTGAGACGATGTCCGATAGGACGCGTCGAAAACAACGCGTAACTTTGTCGATGTGCTTTGTGGTCTTAAAACACACTGATGCGGAGTGAAGTAGTGTGGAGTTCTTGGAATCTGATCATCTATTTTAGACATGTGACCTAAAGTTAAATATTCCTCCGTGAATTCCAAGTACATGCGCTTAAGCTTAGCAACCTCAAAGGAGTTACCAAGCTGAATGGGATCTGATTTAAATGGCAGTCTTACTTTAAATCTACCTGAAGGCAGTATTTCCAAATTATCTTGAAAGTGGCTCTCACATAAATGCTGTTTAACTGTTCGGACCTTTTTGGCTGAAGGCAACTCTACCATTGACCAAAATTTCTGCAATGTTTTGTCTATCTTCTTGGCAACTCAGATTGACAGCATAAGTCTTCTCATGACTTAACTGTAACGCCCTGATACAATCCAGCCAACAAGAGTCTTTTGCAGAATCGGACAATTCGGACCTTGTTTAATCTGACCGACAGACAGCAGCTCAAAGAACGTCTCAGCTCCGATGAGCATGTCGAATTTGTGTGGCTTATCTAAATGATCAGTATGATCAGCCAATTGCAAGTTCTCAGGGATTTTCCAACCACTGACAATGACCGTATGGAAGGTTGGTAACCAGAACTGGTCTTCAAAATCCACAAATCTAATGAGAACTCACTGCAATTGACTCGCGACTTCACCACTGTATGAATCTACTTTCTTGAGTATTGTATTGAGCAATCCCAACACTATCAGACACATTCGCATGCATAGCATGTGAAGTCGACGGTTGATCCTGTGCGGAATCAAGGGGTGGTGGTAACGCTCGAGTGTCAGAAACGGCAGAGTATCGATGCAACAGTGGGTTCTGTGAACGACTGCATACTCTGCACTTGTTTGTCTTACATTTGGCAACAGTGTGCGTTGAGCAATCCCAAGTAAGCTGATACTGGCCTCTTCTCTACGCAGCTGCAATCGTTGTGCTAGCTCGTCTGATACTAAATTAATTTATGATCCAGAATCAAGTAAAGCTCTAGCCAAAATGAACTCGCCACTTCTCGTTTTAATGCTATCGACTGCGGTAGCTAGGTTTACGCTATCAGACACATTCGAATGCATAGCATGTAAAGTCGATGGTTGATCCTGTGCGGAAGAAACGGCAGAGTATCCATGCAACAGTGTGTTATGAGAACGACTGCATACTTTGTACTTGTTTGCCTTACATTTGGCAACAGTGTGCCCCTTCCGAAGGCAATTGATGCATAAAGGAGCCGCCTTAGCGAACTCAAACCGCTGTTGTACTGATAACGCAGAGCCGCAATATAAACATTTTGGGGTCACTTGATCGTTTCTTCCACTAGCCACAGAACACGAAAACGAACATCGATTGTTGCTTTTGGAAACAGACGTTGAATCTGGCCTCGGGCCATCGGACGAAGCCTTGGCTGATTCTTCAGCATAAAGGTGTTGGTATCTACGATTCAAGGCTGTTTCACAATCACTCCATAGTGGAATGATTGCATAATCGAGTTGATCTTCCCATTTTCGTCTGGTCATTGGGTCAACTTTGTTCATAACGAGGTGAATGAGAATCGCGTTAAAAATCTTTTTGTTATCAACTATTGACAGGAGCGAGCCATAGATGGCGGAGTCAGTGTCAATCATTGATCTCAATGATGCCGCAGAAGGCTGCGTTATTTTTGGCAGGCTAAAGAGAGCCGAAATATTTTCATTAAATATTAGACATTCATTGTCGTATACTCTCTTTAGGCTGTCCAATGCTTTTAAATAAGGCATGCTCGGTGACTTGAAACGCTCTAACAGTGCCTAGAGCTTCACCTGAGAGATATGAGATAAGATGATTGAATTTCTCTATGCACGAGATCGCATGATCGTTATGAAAAAGAGTTTCGAACAGGCTTATAAGATTCTTAAGCTCGGAGTATTTTCCACTAAACTTGGGAAGTGCCAGATGCGGAAGACGTGTGCGTGAAGCCGCAATGGGCATGCCTGTAGTCGTTGCAGGACTTAATGTCTTGATAACGGACCTTAGAGGAGCCTTTGTCGTTATACAAAGTTCACGATACTCATCATCTGGGTCAAAAGTTTCCATCTATATATTAATAAAGCGTAAGGGAGCGAGCGTCTCTTGACCGAAACGCGCCACCGAAAAATGCGTACAAAAACAATTGCACAGCCACCGCTTCGCACAAAGCGGAACGAAAATAACGGGCTGCAGCTGGCTTGCTTTGTACGTGTATATGTATGCGTGTACTGCACTTATATACAAGCGCTTGGTCTTGGACAACTGTATAATTTACAGTGGTTGCGAGTGATGGCAAGAAGGGGGGAACGACAAAGCTAAGCGAAATGATAGTATAGAGACAATTAATTTTTGACACTAATTATCATTCGCTCAGAAGCACAAATTCGCACAAATACTAAATTATATGTAGGAATCTCCAAAGCGGTTAGTAAGTGCATGCAAATTTTAATTATGCTCAACTACTTTACATATGTGCCAAGAATTGAAAGCGTTGGCTTCATTAGCGCAACCAAACCAATAGAGTTGGGCTTTCAATTTTTAGCACAGTACCTGCTGTTCCGGACGCAGGAGAACTGTGGTGGCTTTAAAAGACTGCTAAGCGTTTTAGTGCGTATCGCTTTGATGTAATTCGACAACTGAATAGAAGCCAGAGTTATGCTTAGACGGCGATGCGAGGCGAGTTCGCTCCAAAGCGAGTGATAAAGCTTTATTGCGCTCTCGCTCCGCCCTAAACCTAACTTACACTAGACTTCATGTTTTTAAATTAATTTTTAAACTCAATGCACAGATCTGCGCCAACACCGGCCACCATGAAGCGCTTGGTGGCTTCATTCCATAGCCAACTTGTGGATCGGAATTTTAAGCGGAGGTCTTGGTGGTATGAACGCAAATTCGCATCCGCTCTTCCTCGATTCAAGCTCGCAACTCCAGGAACTGGCGACTTGCTCCTACGAAGTTCGTCGCGTTGTCGCAATAGACGGTTTGTGAGACTCCTCGACGGCCGACGAACCTTTGAAAAGCCATTAAAAATGTATTAGTGGATAAGTCAGATACTAGTTCTAAGTGAACCGCTTTGGAGGCGAAGCAAACATACAGTGCTATGTACGACTTATACGTAGGCTTTCCACGCATTCGAAAAGTCGTGCTAATTGGGCCACAAAAATCGCCACATATCGAAAATGGGCGGAGAGCTCGGAGTCGATCTGCTGGTTAACTTCCCAAAATTTGTGTTAGCAGACGAGGCTTGCATTTAAAGCAATGGATACATGATCTCACTGTCTGACAACAGACCTCTTGAGCGTTGGTGAGCCAAAGTCGCTCACGAAGAAGATTCACGAGTGTTTGGGCCAGCATGACAATTCGTCAAATGCAGGTTTCTAATAAAGCTTCTAGCGAATTGCCAGGTTTTTTTTTAAACAGTAGCGGAAACTTGGCATCATTTGAAATAGGAGCGTTTACAGGTCTTCCCCCTACTAGCAACAACGAAAAGGAGCACCAAAATCCATTATACTCATGTATAAATGGATTAAGACGCTGCAGGCTATGAACCACGCGTGTGCCCATTCGAACTCTATCTATGGATGACTTCAACCATTTTCTCGGAAGCTTCTTTCCTTACGAGCGCCGTAGGGATACTCTGAAATTGTACTTCTCGATTTTTACATTTTTGAATAAAGCGGAACACATAAGCAAACACTCTCAGCCACCTGGCATGTGATGAAAAGCTATCGATAGTTGCCAAGATATCTGGTCGGTCTACCATAGCTGCTAGTCCAACAGCTGTTTTGCGGACTTCTAGAGCTCGCAACTCATCTGTCATCAGATGCTGGTTAACCGGCCAAGATTCTCTTGGTTCCTTCAAAAATGAAGGGCCATCAAACCACATCGACGCAAGTAATTCATCGACATCGCAGCCTCTTGAAACAATATCTGCTGGGTTTTGCTTTGTAGGTGCATGGCGCCATTCAGCTTTCTCTGTCCATTCTTGGATTTCGGAACTCGACTTGACACAAATGTTGCCAAAGACGAAGGATGTGACCGAATCCAATGAAGCGTAACTTCAGAATCAGACCAAAGAACCGTCCGTTCAATCGGGAATCTTATGAGATTTGTGACTCGATGACAAAGATCTGCGAGAAGGTGAGCCGCGCAAAGCTCAAGTCGGGGAAGAGTCTTTAGATTTAGATGTCAACAACGAAATACGACAACCTTCTGCAGTATGGCTGCTCTTATTGAGGCGTCGGCAAAACCATGTATCTCGATCGATAAAGTTGGCTCTGTAAACACGTATCGTGGTATCTTTATTCGTTGCAACTGAATCAGAGTAGATTTGAGTTGCTGCCATAGTTATCCCAACTCTGAGGGACAAATTCATACTAGTCTAACTTCTGAAGCCAGAGCTCTTGGAGTAGGATTTTTGCCTTGATTATCAGAGGGCTAAACAAGCCAAGTGGGTCAAATAGCCGCGATGTCACCGAGAGAATGTTCCGATTTGTCGCTCTAAGACCCATGAATGAATCGTCAATCTTAAATTGAAAGGCATCTTCATTCGGCAAACACAACACGCCAAGTGTTTTGGTTGTGTCAGACTCTGAGATCGTTATCGACTTAGCTGCGTTTGTTGCGGAGAACTCAGAAGAATTCGAAAACCATTTGGTTAGCTCGAAACCTGCGCTTTTGAGTATTTGCGACACTGCAGACTTAATTGTCTGAAGGTTCTCTACGCATGCAGCACCAGTTAGTAGATCATCGACGTAAAAGTCGTGCCTGATAACGTCAGCAGCTTTAGGGTGTGATGACTCGCTGATCTCACTTAGCTTTGTTAATCTCCGTATTGCCAAAAACGGGGTAGGCGTCTTTTTTTTGATGTCAGCTGTCAATGCATATTTGTGGAGTCGAAATCGAAGCAGAGTCGAGTACAACTCCTCTTGAATGGTCGGTCCAACCAGTAGAAGGTCATTCAATGCTATTTGAGACGATGTCCGACAGGACGCGTCGAAAACAACGCGTAACTTTGACGATGTGCTTTGTGGTCTTAAAACACACTGATGCGGAATGAAGTAGTGTGGAGTACTTAGAATCTGATCATCTTCTTCAGACATGTGACCTAAAGTTAAATATTCCTCCATGAATTCCAAGTACATGCGCTTAAGCTCGGGATCTCGAGACAAGCGTCTTTGAAGCCACAAAAAACGACGCTTAGCAACATCAAAGGAGTTACCAAGCTGATTGGGATCTGATTTAAATGGCAGTCTTACTTTAAATCTACCTGACGGCAGTATTTCCAAATGATCTTGAAAGTGGCTCTCACATAACTGCTGTTTAACTGTTCGGACCTTTTTGGCTGATGGCAACTTTTCCATAACCAAAATTTCTGCAATGTTTTGGCTATCGAGGTATAAGACTCTTCTTGGCAACTCAGATTGACAGCATGAGTCTTCTCATGACTTAACGGCGTATAACGCCCTGATAAAATCCAGCCAACAAG